ACAACCTGGAAACCCCTGCATCCAGGATTTTGGGCGAAAGTCCTATCAGACAGAGGACTCCAGGGAGAGTTGGGGACATAGACAAACACCAACCCAACCCCCAATAGAAGACCTCAAAGGGAGGAAAGTCCCCCCTCCGGGTCTCAGCCAAGGGAGAGTGGCAATGGCTATCCCACCTGAGCCCCATATTCCTCTGCAGCTCACACCCCTTGCTGCCCCCTCCCCCACTGCCAGTCCATCATCTGTACAGATTTATTTCACAATAATTTCATTTCATCCCTGGCTCCAGAAAGATGGATCGGTTGGTAAAGTGAATGGGAATCAGTGTTGGGCTCATAAATTTCTGCCCCTCTATGAGGCTCCCATGAAGTCCCCTACACGAGACAGGTAGTGGAGTGGAGGGGGGTGAGTGTGATGGGGCAACCGATCATCTCTCTCTGCCACCTTCACTGGGGGCGGGGGGCCTTGAAAGCCTGGAAAAGGGGAAATCTCCCTGCCCTAGAACTAGTGAGTGTTCTCTGTCCATCTTTGCTACAAACAAGGCTATTTGTCACTTGGCTGGCAGGATGACCCGCCTTCCCCCACCCCTCCTGAGCCCCCAGGCACAAGGAGAGAAGGTCACCAGCTGTGTGAGCACTGGAGCTGCCCCCTCCTCTCTCCTCTTGCTGGTCAACAGGAGGTGCTGTGCTGGGCAGCAGTGGGAGGCGTGTCGACAACCAGCTCCTTTGAGAAGGGAGCACACACTCACAAGCATACGCACAGCTAACAAGCATGTACGCACACGCAGAAGAGTAGCATGCCCACGCTAACACCTACTAGAGAAGAGATCACAAGCACAATAGCAGAACCAAAGCATCGTGGAGAAAAGAGCATGGGATTTGGAGTTGAGGAGAGCCAAAAATTGGATGCTATCCCTGCTGTGTGGCACTTGGGCCACTCACTTAACCTCTCTGAGCCACACCTTGCTCAGTTGCAAGGATAACCATACTCCCTCAAAGGATTATTGTCAGGATCAAATAAGATAATGTGAGAGAAGTGCCTGGCACATAAATGGCACCTAGAATCATGATTACTACACCCACCCACTCCCCTAACTACATGTGCATGCATGCATGAGCTCGCGTGCACACACACACACACACACACACACAATCTCTCCATTCTCTGTTTCTCTCCATAGCCTGATCCAATCCTCTTCTCAAGTCTGCACAATCCTAGCTGACCCCTCACCTCTGACCTCCAGAAGCTGCCCAGAAGGGTGCAGCCCGGAGTCCCCTGGGGACACATTCTGGCCTTCTGCCCTCGCTCCACTCCCACCTCCCTGGACAACAGAGCCCTCCCCACACCCCAGTCATTTCCATCATCCTATACACGCAGTCCCTCCTGCCCCAACTTTCATGCTCCTGGATGTCAGGAAACCAGCATCGTAGGTAAGGCTGGAGTCAGGATGTCATTTGGGATGGGTTGAATGGGTAGAAGAATGGATGCCACAAACAGTGTGAAGAAGCAGAGACTCAAACAGGGAAATAAAGTCTAAAAACCAGTGAGTGGATCTTGGTCCCATTGAATGTTAGAATCACTGGGGAAGCTTTAGAAAAATACAGGTGCCTGCACTACCACCATCATGCCCCACCCTTTGGGAAATTTTATTGCATTTTCTGGGCTGAGGCCTGGGTAATTCTAGGGTTAAGGTTAGGGTCAAGCTTTGTAGCTAGACAGAACTGAGCCCCAGCTCTGCTGCTTGATCTCGGATGGATGAATCATGTCCCCTCTCTGAGGCTCAGTTGTCCACATGAGCAATGCACGTGGGCATCGTGAAGATGACAGGCATCCAGTCTTCAGCACACGGCCTGGCACCTGGGAGCAGAGAGGCTTCCTCCTAGGCACCAGCTGGGCCCCCTCAGCTCTGGGTGGAACTGAGGTTGCTGCTGCCCCACTCCAACCCTGCTCCTTCCCTGTCCCCTCCAGCACTGCTGTGCCCTCCTGTCTCTCTCCATATTAAACATTAACCTCCTGCCTTTCTCAAGCCCCAGGCTCAGCATTTCATTTCCCTCACCCTCTACCCCATATTAACCCTGCCCTGGAGTCCTCTAATTAGATTCATACGAGGATCTGTTTCTCCTCTCGGCCCCCAACTTCCCGGATGAGGGATGAGAAGGGAGGCAGGGAGAGGCATCTCTGTCCCCGATTTTATCTCATCACTTCTGCCCTAATTAGTATTCCAAGGAGAGCCATCTCCATAGGCCCCGGGATTTGTTTGCCAGCCGGCCAGTTCCTTGTCTCCCCAGTTCAGAGTGAGTAATTCTGTCCCTCCCAGGCCCATTTAAGGGAGTGAATAATTAGTTACATTCAATTAGGCCTCTTGCTGCTACTATGGCTCCAACCTGCCTCACTTGGGGGGACAGGCACACTAATGAGATGGCACATGTCTGACATGGGGACCAGGTGTTAAACATCAGAGACCCCCGCACCCATCCACAGTGGGTAGAGAGCTTGGAGGGAATGGGGAGGACCGGTGATGTCCAGAAAGAGTGGGGCATGGAGTGGAGAAAGAGAGGGGAAACTGAGGGCGGGGACACTGGGATGAAGGCAGGAGAGGAGGGGAGTGTGAAAGAGGTGGAGAGAAAACGGGAGACGGGAGAGGAGAGATGGAGAGAAAGGATCAGCGGAGGGGGCATCAGAGGAGAATCACCCAAAAGTCCTCCAATATGGGAGCCCTTCCATGAATCAGCATCCAGCTATACAACGGAATCCTATACTGCAATTAAAAAGCATGTTGTCCATCTATATGTATTGGCACGGAGAGATGTCTGCCATATACCACTAAGCAAAGAAAGCTGCTTACAAAACAGTGCATATAATAATAGCTCAAGCCTAAAAAATATTTTTGGCACAGAAAACAAGGCTGGAAGGACCTATACCTTGTGGTTGGCAGGTGTGGCAGGAAGCTTACAGGTAGTCTTATTTTCCAGCTCCTGTTTATTGCTTGGATTGGGGGGTGCAGGTGATGCAGGAGTATGACTTTTATAATTAGTCAAAACAATAACACTTGTTCAAAAGAGAACGAGGTGAGGTGGAAGAGCTGGAGCCAGGAAAGGAGTGATTAGGGAGCAAGGCAGAAAGTAGGCAGGGGGGTGGAGAGAGCAGCAGACACTGCAGAGGGTGGGAGTGAGTCCTGGAGTGAGGAGGAGGCAGGGAACTAGCTGGCCACCAAGGCCCAGCGGGATGTGCCAGTCGGAAGGGAGAGGCAGAGAGCCCCAGGGACAGGGAGGGAGGGACAGGAATGGAGAAACGTTTGCCCCCACCCCCTGCTCCCCATCCCCCCGCCCATTGGCCCAGTCTGCCTGGGCAAAAGCTGTTCACTGACCTTGCTGGACCCCTCCTGGAGCCCCCGCCTCAACAGTGCTGCTCATTCCAGGGGAGCCCCCCTCATGAGCTTCCCCCAGATTCCAGGCCCACAGCATGGGTGTTTTTTCTATTTTTACAAATTAAAACTGTATCTACCCACCCCTGCAGGTGGGTTTGCAATTTTCTGTGCCAGAATCACTCTGGGGGAGAGAAATCCTCGGGGGCAGAGTCTTTAATAACTTCTGCTGCCCAAGGAATCGACTGCAGGACCTGAAGGCTTGGTGGTGGTGTGTTGGGGGGGAGAGTGTTATGTGCATGCAAGCCTGAGGTCAGGGCTGCAAGAGGAGAGGGGGCTGGTCATAAACTAGGAGGACATCTACACCCAGCTCAGCCCAGCCCAAGGCAAGTGCCTCAGTCCTAGGGCCTCCATGCTTTGGGCCCTTGTCACCTGTGTTGCACATGGTGGAGCCTAAGTCCCCAGGGGTTCTATCCATCCTCCGGGCTGGGTGCAAAGGACCCTCCCAGGACCTCAGTCTCCCCATGTATAAAACAAAAGGATTGGACACAATGAAGTTTCCAGTCTCTTTTAATCTCAACCTTCTGTGATGTGCTTTCTTGAGTTCTTGCCAATTTTTTTCTTTTAATTTTTGAAACTGGTAGCATTTAAACATTGAGAGATTTCACATAATGATCCGTATTCCCAGCAATATACAATCCTCATTTCTGCTGGGCAACCATTGGAAGGGGCTGATGGATGCTGCTCCTTCAAAGATGGGCAGAGCCTCTCCATTTTGCCATAATTCTGCCATCCTGACTTCTGACCTGGACTGCCTTCCTTTCCAGCCCCTATGGGTGTGAGTTTACCAGCCTCCACCCCATGTGCCCATTTCCCTAATCACTGTGTGGGTAAAAACCACAGGTTTTTGAGTCAACCTACTCAAGTCCAAAACCCAGCTCTAACTCTTAAGACGTTAGCAAGTCGTTTGACTTCTGTGCCTCCTCTGTAAAATGGATATTACAGGAGTCCACGCCTTACACAGGGTTGCGTATGGACTAAGACAATGCATGTAAAGTTCTTCGTGCTGTGTCTAGCACACAGTGAGCACCCAATTGGTGTGAGCTGTTAGTAGTGCCACTGCACAGCTCTAGCTCTGGATGAGGCGCACAGTAGGAATGCAGTCAATATTTGCTACATGAAACAAAAGAATTAATTGAGAGGGTAAGACCCGGGGAAAGGATAAAAAGTTGCAAGTAGAGACTGCAGTAGGCTCAGGCCCATGGAGCCAAGGGAGGAAAAACCTCATCTTCAAAGTACGGGGCCAGTGTGGGGCAAGTCTGCACAGCCAACTCACTCAGGGCGTCCAAGCCGCCGCCAAGGTCTTTGGATGTTACCTTGGCGCCACCTTCTGGTTTATGTGTGCCTCACAGCCACCCCATCCACCCACGGGCCAGGGTAAACAGACCCCAACTATTTTCAGAACTAGCTGGACCCCGAGAACTCACAGGGACCCAGACCATCATCACTTATCTGGGGACAAAAGCCCAAAACCAGAGAGTAACTTTTCTGAGGTCACACAGAAAGCTCCTGGCTGAGCTCCATTTAGAACCAGAACTTGCTAGAGCTGCCAAGCATCACCACCTCTTTCCTTGTCAAAGACACTAACATAGACAAAATTGCACCTTCTTGCACATGAGCTCTGCTGATTCTCAGCAGGAGGTTCTCCCAGAAGCAGACCCTGAGACAAGGAATGAATGCAGGTAGTATATTTGGGGGTTGAACAGAGGAAGCTCCAGTGGTGGAGTGGGGAAGGGAGGTAGGGAAGGGAGTGGGCACCATTGCAGAGTGCCGCTGGGGGCATCTGGGTCTCCGTCCCTCTAGAGAGCCTAGCAGACAGTGTAGCACACACCTCAGATCTGTTCCTCCCAAGGGCAAGGAAGCTGGCGTATTTATCCTCCAACTTTCAACCCAAGTTGGTTGAGAGTACTTTGGGGCATTAACTCCCCCAGCTGCAGCATTCCTGGCCTACATCTACACCAAGTATGTTTTCAAGACCAGAGAAAACCCTGAGGCAAGCAATCCCAAGCGCTTGCAATAGGAAACCGGTTGCTCATATAGAAATATGAACGCCAAGGGCAGCGGTTCTCAAAGTGTGGTCTCCGGACCAGCAGCATCAGCATCACCTGGGAAACTCGTTAGAAATGCAACTTCTTGATCCCCATCCCAGACCTACTGAACCAGAACCCCTGGAGGTGGGGCCCAGCGATCTGTCATTTAACAATCCTTCCAGGTGGCTCTGATGCACACCCTCTCGAGATGGAGAACCTCTGACCTAGGAAAGAACACAGGAGGCATCAATAGCATCTGCTTCAAGTATTGTCACCATTTGCCAGATAAGGTGACTAAGAAGCAAAGAGGTGAAAGTGACTCACCCATGGTCATGCAGATAATAGGTGGCAGACATGGGTCTTCTGTCTCTTTCCACTATACCACCAGACAGAAGTGACAGTAGCATTTGGGCTCTAGGCAGGAATGAGGATTAGGTCCCAAAGCTCCCCTTCCCTGCCCGGCCACCCCCCCCCCCAAATTTGTGCCACTTTCTAAACCAATGGCCTCCACCTGGCGCATCCAAATGGTCCTCGAAGCTCTTCTGGGAAGCCTGCCAAGCTGGGTACCCCTCTTGGCTCCCAGCTGCCCTCACAGCCTCCATTGGGACAAGCCCTCTCCACCCCCACCCTCCAGCCAGCAGAACATGTTGGGGAAATCCAAAGCAGCTTCTTGCCTGGGAAAGGTTGAGAGCCCTGGGTTAAACGTCACCACGAATCTCTGCTCTGACGCTTTGGTGGCCCTTGGCATTGCTCTTCCTTCTGCTTGTCCTCCAACCTTCCTCTCCTGCCTTTCCCTCCCCTCTGCTCCCACTCCATCTGCTGCGCCTCCTGGCTGGGCTCCCCCTCAGTTGGCACAGCAGGAAGAGAGAATAGGATGGTTTATTTTTATCCTGAGATACTGCTGGGGGGAAGGGGCACCATCTGACCGAGAAGCAGCAGCTTCTGTAGCAGTGGGGAGGTCAGAAAGCAGTGGAAGACCCAGGATCTCCCCTGGGAAAGAGCTATGGATGGAGGTTCCAGAGAGCAGGCAGATCTGGGAGAAGCTCAGAGCCAGGAGTGGAGAGCTCTGAGCATGGTACCACTATGCACTGCTGTGTGATCCCAAGCAAGTCACTTCACCTCTCTGGGCCTCTGTTTCCTCCTCTGTAAAAGAGGGAAGGAAGCGGGCCCTGCCTGCCTCAGAAGGCTGTTTTTGTGAACATGTATCAAATGGGGAGAACACTTTGCAAACTTGATGCCACATGTGAGCACCGTCCTACAGGGGCCACAGCCTGGGGATATTTTTACTTATCCTCAGAAAGTACCCTAATTCTGTGAGCCTGACAGCAAGTTAGACAGTTCCTTTCACCCAGCATGTCCACCCCCATTTTTCTTTTTACATGTTTGATCATCTTTTAATTATATAAGCATTATGTGAACTCACTCTCCTTTGGGGGAAAAAAAAATAAAGCAAAATGGGAAAGCCAAATGTTCCTTTAACCAATCCTCTTCCCCAGACCCTTCTTCCCCACCCCACATGTTACCACTCTTCACGTTGTGGGTCTTCCGTGTATCCTCTCAGAAACTTTGTTATACCTACATATATAATGTATATTATATTCATACATATATATATAGACAATATATCATTTTTTAAAGTTTTCATACCTATCATTCTGCAACCTGCTTTTTTTTTTCACTTGATAGTGTTTTTGAGATCCTGTTGTATAAATATAGTACAACTTTATTTCTCCAGTCCCCTGACGATGGACAGTTAAGTAGATTCCAGTTGTTCACTGTCACAAACATTGCTGCAATGGACATTTCTGGGCACTGAACTGCTGGGTTGGAGGGATTGGTGGATATTACTGTATTTCCACACTACCCGCTCCCTGCCAAAGTTGTGCCTCCATCTTTAAAAGCAAGTTGGAAGATTGGAAGTGCTCCAGAGCTGGGGTGAGAAGTTCTCTAAGGTGAACTGTTCCTGCATCTGTCCAGTGCTACGGCTCTGTCTCAAGCCACAGGGTTGCAGGAGGATGTGCCCAGGCAATGACAGCCTCTCTCCTCATACCACAGCAGCAGCAGCAGCAGCAGCCCCAGGCTCTCCCACCAGGTGCCCATTTGCCCACGCTGCCACGCTCCTGAGCATGCACAGCCTCACTGTCTCTCCTGCACTGAGATGCGGCTCTCCTTGCCATCCTCCTGGGTGACTGGCTGGCACCCATGTAAGGTCTCCTGCACTGGAGAGTTAGGGCCGGAAAGGTCGTCCAGAAAAATCACCTCCACGGGATCCTGACATTCAGTCTCTGGGTGGGGGGCCTGGGGAGCCAAGGCGTGAGGTTACTCCCAGCCACAGAGGCAGCTGTGCCTCAGAGGAGCCCTTTCCTAGGAAGCAGATCCCCTCCCCAAGTCCTTTCCTTCTTCCCAAATGGCGACTCAGTGCTGATTCCTTGAGTGCTTCCTGCCCCCTGCTGGCCGCACTGAGAGTGACAAGAAGCTTCCAGAGTAAAAGCCAGTAGGTTCAAGGAGCTGCCCCCTGGATCTCACCCATTTGACCCAGCACTGAGGCCCAAAGACATGGTTCCCCATGTGCTGAATGTCAGGAAGGGAATGAAGAACAGCCAATGTTAGACTTTGCCACTGGTGCGAGGGGCAGCTCTGTGGGGGAGGCAAGCCCTGGAGGTGATGAACCTAGTACTGAGGAAGTGGATGGAAGGGGCCACAGCTGGAGCATAGGGGTGAGTGCGGGTGAGAGCAGCCAATTCGGATGCCACCCCACTGGCTGCAGGGACAGACCCTGAATCAGTTTTACTGCCCCATAGGCAACACCAAGTCAATCTTTCTTTCCAGTTTGCCAAAATTCTGTCCTAGTTCCCAAGGGCAACCTACCTTATCCTCTGACTTCTTGACCACCTTTCCTAGAGAAAAAAGAAGGGATGGGGAGTTGGGAAAGCCAGATCAGGAAACACGTGGTCAGTTCTGCTGTTCCTTTTCCTCCTCCCTCCCTCCCTCCCCCATCATCTCCCCATCTGGGGACTCACTGATATAGACAGATACCAAGAGGACAGCAAACAGGATCCCTGTCACGATGGGGATCATCACCAGGGCTCTCATCCGATGCTGGGAATCTGGAGAAATGGAGACTTCAGCACACCCCCCACCCACCTGCAGTCGCCCCCGCCCCCATGCCCAAAGCTGCTATGCCTCACTCAGCTCTAAAACTCTCCAATGTCTGAGCTCATCCACATTGGGAATTTCAAACGGCTGCCCTTGAGGAAATGTGGCTGGTGGATGTCTTTGGGGTGACCAGCACATTTTTTTTTAGATGTTTTGAAATATTTGTCAACATTTTAAAGTTGAGATAATCTATGTTAAAAATCTGGATATCTAGTTTCTCTTACAAATGGGAAAGGTGGAGCTCCAGTGGGCCATCATGCCTACCTGGAGACCATCAGCTAGATCTGGGTAGTGGTAGTTGTCTCTATCTGTTTGCCACACTCCCCATCACTCTCTTCTCTCTGCCCAATGCTGAGGTCCAGCGTCATTTATGTCTGCACTGTTGCTTATGTTATACAAGCATGGAGGGGGAAAGTAATGTATTTCTTGTACCTAGGTCTCTAATCTAAGTGGGCAAATGAAAGAAAGACCAAGATGTAAGCAAGGCAGGGATTAGTGTTGGGCAAGGGATTAGTGTGCTTCGGGACAAAATTTAAGAGGAAAACAAAAAACTCAGTAATCAAGATAAGTGCTAGTTTAATGCCATATTTTGAAAATCAGCAGGCAGACACCAAGTCAGCAAACTATAGCCCACAGGCCAGCTACCTGTTTTTTAAATAAAGTTTTATTGGAACCAGGGCTAGTATCAGAATGAGGTAAGGTAGGATTGCACAAATAGAGGGTCAGATCTTACCTTTATTTAAAATTTTGCTATTTTGTTTATCACAAATTTTTGCATTAATTTCAATTTTTTAAAATATTACATCAAAATGTTATCTATCTTGATTGCTGCATTTTTATGGCACCCCATTAAATAGTGTGCCTGAAGCCAAGTGCATCACTCACCTCATTCTAGTCCCAGCCCTGCCAAGAGGAAAGTAAACTTTGAAAAAAAGCAAAGAGAATGTCTTTTTTTTTTAACCCCTGACCTTTTTTACTCATTAACATGACCTGGCTAGTCCCTGTAGTTATCTGAGTTTGTGATCTGTGCTGCAGGCCAAACTTCTCATTCTAAAATCAAAACTGAGGCCAAGAGGGGACAATGTCACTTTTGAAATGCAGGGTGGCAGAACAGCATTTATGGAGCATCTCTAAAGTGCAAAAGCGAAGCATGGGTGTTGGTAACATCAAGGTCATGGGTTAGGATCCCTGTACCAGCCAGCTGCCAAAAAAAAAAAACAAAGTGAAAAAACCCATGTTGGGTACTTACACTAGCCTATTAAGGGAGATGCTATTATCCTCCCATTTTATACATGAAGAAACTGAGGCTCAGAGAGGGAAAGTGACTTGCCCAGGCTCCCCAGATTAGCAGCAGAGCTGGAATACCACACCCCCAAACTGCCTCCTCCTCTCATTTCACCTCTCTTCCCCCTTTCCTCACCTGGTCCTTCTATCTACCTCAGTGTCCCCCTTCAGTTCCCACCTTCCTAGACTGCTGCCAGGGCCCATTCTCCAGGACTCACCACAGATAGCATCAGTCTTGTTAGTTCCTGCCTGTAGTTCAATCAGGCCTTTGGTCTCACAGCTGTGCACAGACACATGTGCACACACGTGCACACACACACAGAGAAGGAGATATTAAGTTTCCCCAACCATAAGACTTCCAACCCCAGAGGGGGGCAGTCAACAATCAACAAGTCCAGGTTCACTGAGCACACATTACATTATTACAGGAATAATACAGACCCTGTTCTGACAGAACTCATAAGTGCAGAGAAAAGATTATTGCACATCTTGAGGGAGTAATAAATAGGAGAGTCTATAATGAGTGCCAAGCTTCCTGATATAGGCTAAAGTGAGATGGGAACTGTTCAGAGGAGACAGAATCCCCAATGGCTAGCATGGAGGCTAAAGTTCGGTTTACAGCAGGGTTTCTCGACCTCAGCACCAGTGACATTTTGGCTGGATAATTCTTTGTTGTAGGGGCTGTCCTGTGCATTGTAGGATTTTTGACAGCTTCTCTGGCCTGTACCTACTAGATGCTTGTAGCATCCCTCTCCCCAGTTGTGACAATCAAAATGTGTCCAGACATTGCCAAATGTCCTTGGCTGGATAATTCTTTGTTGTAGGGGCTGTCCTGTGCATTGTAGGATTTTTGACAGCTTCCCTGGCCTCTACCTACTAGATGCTTGTAGCATCCCTCTCCCCAGTTGTGACAATCAAAATGTGTCCAGACATTGCCAAATGTCCCCCAGGGAGCAAAATTGCCCCCGTTGAGAACCTCTACTTTAAGGGTCTTCCAGAAAGATGTCCCTGTGGAAATAAGATCTGAGAGGGCCCTGATGTGAAATTTGAAGAACAATGCTTTCCAAGGAGGTGGGACAACGTGATGCGAGGGAATTGAGGCCTGTGGTGTGCCACACGGTGTCAGGGAACTAGGCAACATTGTGTCTTTAGAACCAGATCACTGATAACCAGGCAGGAAGGTTGGACTGGATTCAGCTGGTGTGTCGCACCAGTAATCAACCAGATGACTTAATTTGTGAGAGGATTCAGCTGACCAGAGAGCTCAGAGGAGAAATTACAGAAGAGGAGACAGCCAGGAGGCATGGCAGCAGTCTAGGCATGGGATGATGAAGACNATTACAGAAGAGGAGACAGCCAGGAGGCATGGCAGCAGTCTAGGCATGGGATGATGAAGACGTGATCCAGGTCGGTGCCAAGACGAGTGGAGAGAAATGGGCAGAAAAGGACATTGCAAAGGAAAAACTATCTAAGGTGGAAGAAAGAGGGAGAAGCTTCGGAGAAAGTACATACTTTAGTTTTACATGAGAAGAGCACTCAAGAGTTTACAAAACACCTTCACATGTCATTATCTCAAGCCTCATGAGATAAAGGTAATTCCCATTTTCTGGATGAGGACACTGAGACTCAGAGAGGTGAGGGTCACACACCTTGCTGAACTGCAGGTCAGATTGTAAGCCAGTGCTCCGATTCTACCACACCACAGATGCCTCCAGGTATCAACCAATATTTATCAGCAAATATTTATTGAGCAGTTACTATGCATCAGACACTGTTCTGGGCATAGGAGGTGTATTGGTGGAAGGAAAAAAAA